AGAAGTATTTCCTTCTGATTACCCCCTTTCCCAATCTGCCCTCCTGTCTATCATCCCCCCTGCTCTCTTGTCCCCTTCTCCCCCTGTTGAGTCTGTTGCTCTTTATACTCTGCTGTGATGGATGGTGGCTGTTTCTGTTTACAAATAGATAGGAATATTTACAACCAAGTTATAGAAGTGTAGACCACTTTTCACTCATTTGTGGACTTACACACAGTCCCAGGTTCAATGTAGGCTAATATTGGAAAGAACTGTAGCTCTGTTGGCTTAAGTCCCCGTCTGAGCTTGACTGGGAAGCTCTAAAATCATCTGAAGTCGCAGACAAGACATAAAAAGTAAAATGCTAGCTTTAGAGTAAGCACTAATGCAAGCAGGAGAAAAAAAAAAACCTCTCAACATCTATTGTCCAATGAGGATGAGTTCTTCCCTAATACCCAGCAAAGGAAATTGGGAGAAGAGTTTCAAATGGAGAAAGGTGGTCGTGTGTGTGTGTGTGGGTGTGTGTGGGTGTGTGTGTAAAAGAATTAAGTAATGAAAGTGCTTCTTGACCTTTCAAAAAATCAAAGAAAATAACTTGTCAAACGTGTGAAGTAGTTATAATTGGCTCTGTGGTAACATCAAAGTAATATAAATCCTACAAATGGGGCTGTTCTCAGGGGGGTCTAGGTCCTGGAGCCACCATTAGCTTATATGGGGGCTGGAGCCAATTAGAGTCTCCCCCTCACACATTGATATAGTCGATTGCCTTCTTGAGTGAGCAATGGCCAGCAGCCAGTAGGATAGGGGGAAAAAAACAACAACAACAAATTGTAGGAACTATAGCAACCTACCCAATTCAATCCTGAGGATAACTCTGCTCACAGATGACCTTCCTAACATCCAGAAGCAGAATTAGGGTAATTCTATGGAATAGCAAACTATACTCACAAAGATCTTCAGGCATCCCCTGATACCATGGTGCAGTTCACTTCAGTGAAATTGGTTGCTGCCCCTGGAGCCAATCAATCAACCATGTTAATTCTCTAATGCAAATGAAAAGAGAATTGGCAGCACTTGAAGCATGAAAGGAGAAAAATTATACTTTTTCTAATGAAAATTAATTTTAAAATATTTTTCATAGCCTTTACAAGTAATTTCTCTTATATATATATATATATATATATATATATATATATATATACATATACATATATATACACACATATACACATATATAGAGGGAGGGAATAGAAAGTAGAGGGTCCATTAAATTTCAGATTCGTTCAGGACCCCATTATCAGGGAAAACCCAATAGTTCATAAATTTTCCTATGTTAGATTCTTAGATTTTTTTTTCGAGTTTCAGTGATCTCATGGAATTTTTTTTTCACTTACCATCCTTAATTTTAAAAAAATCATTAAATCTATTCAAACATTTGTGTCAATGAAATTCCCAGTATAGGATGAGTGCATGGAGTGCTGCTTGATCTATAAAAATAATTGCTTTTAGCATTGAATCATAGGTCATTTTAAATAAACAGGTGAGAGGGAATAAATCTAAATAAATCCTGCAGACTGGATCTTGTAGTTACAGCAGTAGCTACTGGTATGTGCAGTACCCAAATAACTATATCAAAAGTGAAAATTTTCTTTTCTGAAAAGTCTTACAGTCAGTCTAACTGATGCTTTCCCTAAATTGACTAGTTTTTTAAAGACTATTTCTTTTCTGATGAGCCATCTCACGTCACTTTTGTCTTTACATCCCAGCAATTGGCACAGCCCCTTGTACAAAATAATAGGTTCTTGATAAAGGTTTGTTGAATTAAATGGTAGAAACATAGAAGGGGTTTTACTTGCTCTGTGTTTCCTTGGGACTGTCTCTAATATGTGTTTTCATGAAAGATTTGGTAGCAGAATTCCTTTAGATTCCTTGTATGGCCACAGGTTGAAGGCTAGGTTTGGGATCACCTCCTATCTTGGACTCTTGAAAAGTCACTCTTCATGAATCATGAGCATTCCACCTAAGGAAGACCTGGAGAAAGAAAAGATAAACCCCTTAAATTGCTCTAGGCCTGGGGCATGCAGTCACTTTTTTAGCCTTATTTGGCCCAAAATAGGAACTCAAACTGTTTTTGATTGAGTTGTATCAGCACATTTTTTAATCTTCCTTGCTTAAATGGCAAGCCATAGGCCAAGAAACTTGTCTTATTGCTAACTACATTATGTTGATCAAATAATAAAAACGTCAAGTGGCAATTGCCCAATTAAGATAAATATTTTTAAATTGTTATTGATTGTCTGGTGTGTGACCAAGTGAAATATAGTAGAGAGGTAGGTGGGTATAGATAGGTGGGGCAGCTAAATGTTGTAGTGCATAGAGTTCTGACCTGGGAATCAGGAGGACCTGAGTTCAAATCCAGCCTCAAACACTAGCTGTGTGACCCTAAGCAAGTCACTTAACTCTGTTTGCCTCAGTTCCTCATCTGTAAAAAGAGCTGGAGAAGGAAATGGTAAACCACTCCAGTATCTTTGCCAAGAAAATGGAGAGTAGGACATGACTGAAAGGACTGAACAACAACAGGTGAGTATAGCAGAAAAAATAAAACACTACATTTGGAGTCAAAAGACCTGTATTCAAATCATGGCTCTCCTCCTTGTTACTAAAATGATCCTAGGCAAATTATTTAGACTCTCCAGACTTCAGGTTCCTGATCTTTGAAAATAAGGGGGATAGCTAAGTGGTGCAGTGGGTAGAGCAACCTCCCTGGAGTCAAGAAGACCTGAATTCAAATCTGGCCTCAGACACATAACACTCACTAGCTGTATGACTCTGGGCGTGTCACTTAACGCCAATTGCCTTACCAAAAAAACCCAAAACAAAACAACAAAAAAAACACAGGTATAGGGCAATACTTTGGGGGCAGCAAGGTGGCACAGTGGATAGAACAACCACCCTGGAGTCAGGAGGTCCTGAGTTCAAGTGTGACCTCAGACACTTGACACTTACTAGCTGTGTGACCCTGGGCAAGTCACTTAACCCAGATTGCTCATCAAAAAAGGAAAAAAAAAATGAGGGTATTGGACTAGATGGTATCTAAAGACTATCCAACTCTAAATCTATGGCCCTCTTAATAATAAAAAAAAAATGGAAGCAGACCATTGTGTAGGAGCCATGGGAAGAAAGGCACATGAATTACCCCTACTGGTAAAGCTTCAACTTGGCCTGATCATTTTGTGTTGACCCAGCGTGCCGGGCTCTGACAGTAAGATCAAAGTCAGGAAGCCCTGGTTTCAGGTACTGCCTTGGACACATACTGGCTCTAAGACTATGAATTATGACAAATATACTTACCTGAATTGGTAGAGTTTCCTTGTGTGAGTGCCCTATACCAGTGAAATCACAGGTCCAAACCATATCCTGTCCACTAATTTTGCGCATTTGTGAAGAATTGAATTGTTGGGTGCTATATAAAATAGATCTTAAGCATGAAGACATTCAGTTTGCCTAGAATTATTCCTCTGAAGATTTGGTGTGGATATTATAATTTTTCAATTTCATCACAGTTTTTTCCTCCATTGATGTTTCTAAACCCACATTTTTTTTCTTGTAACAAAGACCTGGACGATTCAATCCTCCAGAAACTGTTCCTCCATTTTAATGTTGTCAGTGTTCAAAATCCTATTTGCATAGTCTAACATTTTTTTCATTTAATATCAAAAGCTTAAAGGGAAAAGAAACTCATTTAATTATCCAAACCCTTATAAGAAAACATGAATTATAATGCCTTAAATTTACATAATGGTTTACAATTTGCAATATGTTTTCGTATAACATTACCTCAGAAAAGCCTACACTTAGAAAAGTAAAAAACACCATGTTCTGAATTTGCCTGAAGAAGTATCAAATCTCACTTCCAAGTATCGCACTAATATACAATTGATTGAATCAACAATGAAATGTTAAAACTTTGAGGTTTCATCTCTCATTCGTCGAATTGTTAAGGACTCTCAAATAGTAAATGTTGGAGGTACTGAAGCTATGGGTTGCTACAACCATTCTGTAAAATAATTTGGAATTAAGTGAGGTGAGACACAAATCTTTATATCCTTTGATCCAGAGATCCTTCTACTGGGTATGTATCACAAGGAAGTTGATGACAGAAAGAATGTTTCCAAAAATAAAAAAGCATTCACTATGATACTCTTTGAGATAACAAAATACTAGAAACCAAAGAAGTGTGCCTCAGTTGGTGAATGGCTGTATAAATGATGGTACAAGAATGTTATGGAGCATTACAGCACTCTATGAAATGATGAACTTGAGGCATTCAGAGAAATATGGGAAAACTTGTATCCACAAACACTGAAAGAAAACAGTAGGCACAATGACCAAGATAATGGAAACATAACTAAATTTAAGAGTGAACTCATTAATCACAGTGATCAGTGTTGGTCTCAGAGAAAAGATGATGAAACACATTTCCCTCCTCTCAATAAGTAGGTGGGTAACTACAAATACATTACTTTCCATATCAGCTCACTTTTTCTTTTTCTTTTTCTTTTTTTTTTGGCTAGGCAATGGGGTTAAGTGACTTGCCCAGGGTCACACAGCTAGTAAGTGTTATATGTCTGAGGCTGGATTTGAACTCAGGTACTCCTGAATCCAGGGCTGGTGCTCTATCCACTGCACCACCTAGCTGCCCCCAGATCACTTTTTCAGTTGGGTTTTTCTTAACCTTGTTATAAAGAAGTATTCATTAGGAGTGGGGACAGGGAGGGCATATTGGGAAATGAGTGTAATGTAAAAAAAAAAAATCAATAAACTTTTTTAAAAAAATTAAATGAGACTTGGTTCAATTTCATGACATTTATGTGATATCTAATCCAATCGTAAGTAATTTTCCCATGTGATGAAAGGATTCTAGGAATGAAATACAGAACATTCTCATTTATTAAAACCTGAGTGGCATGCTGTAAAATGTCCTACAGAATGCTAAACTTCACTTTCTTGTTAATACACAGGGACTCTTAGGTGAAAAGTATGGAAACATCCGAATTCCTGGAGAAGTTGAATCATCAGAATTTGAAATGATTTTGGATGCTGCCATAGAAGCAAAGCTGGAAACAAGGTGCTCGAAGAATGGTACTGCCGAGATGAGAACTCTGTTCCAGCAGCCTATTACCTCAGACCTAAATGTGAAATGCTGAAAAGCAATAAGAACTCAGTAAGTTGTCTCTCAGTACAGTCCCTTATGTTCATAAGCATTCATTCAGGGAAAGTAGTTTTGAATTCACTGACAGAGCACTTAGAGATGGCATTCCCTCTCTGTGCTCCAATACATAAATAGGAATTCTCTCGGACCTCAGATGAGAACCATCATAATAATGGGCTCAAGGATCTAGAGCTAGAGACAGAGGTCATCTAATCCAACCTCCTCATCACATTTTACAGATAAGGAGACCTGGGATCTCAGAGCCTAAATGATTTGCCTGAGGTCACACAAGTAGTAAGTGTCAGAGGCAAGATTTGAACCCAGATCTGACTTCGAGCCAGTGTTCCTTCCAATGTATAACATATGTTTATTTAGTATTTTGATATCTATCCCCAGCGCTTAGCACAGTGACTGTGGGTGTTTACTAAATGCTGATTGACTGACTAACAGTGTTCTTTCTACTGGAAATATATTTATTTGGTTTTTTGAAGTTTACAAAGTACTATGCACACAATATCTCATCTGCCCATCATAAACAGCCCTTTGAAATCGATGCTGTTATTATTCCCATTTTCCATATTAGGAAAATGAAGCAGAGATATCAGTTGATTTCCTCATATTGCAGAGCTAGTTAAGTGTTAAGGATCTGAACACAGGTTCTTCCTGACACTCTTAAGTCTGGCACTCTATCTATTATACCACATATCTATTATTTAATACCACTGTCTAGTCTGCTCATGTATAATCCCTCTCAAATGCTCTCTATAATAATGCTCATTTACATTTACACAATATTATTATTTCCATCTTGAAGAGGAGATAATCAAGATCAGTAAGTTCATGGGACTTGCCCAAGGTCTCAAGTCTCCTGCCTACAGATTTAGGGCACTCTCCATCATTTTCCAATTCTCTTTCATGACATAACTCAAAATCATAATTAAAGTGAAATGAACAACCTTTTCTATGAGCCAAAACTCGTATTGGAAAAAAAAAAATCCAGACTAGTAATCAGAGAGTACTCTGGAAGAATTACCAGCCATGTAGGCTTCCCAGCTCTGCCTTTGATCAGTTGTCAAACCCACTTTGCCCTCCTCTTTACTCCATCCCCAAAGAAAGGAAAAGAGAATTGACATCACTCATACATGAAATTTCTATGGAACTAAAAGGGCTCTCTTTTACCACAAAGAAAGTGCCCCCATGGAGAAAGCAAAGTACAGTGGAAAGATCACTGGCCTGGGACTCGAGGAACCTATGTTTTAGTCCCATTCTGTCACTAACAAGCTTAGACAAAGCATTCAGTCACCCTGGGTCTCAGTTTATAGAGTCTGCTACATGATGTTATTGTTCAGTCATTTGGCCACGTCCAGCTCTTTGTAACCCTGTGGACCATAGCTCACCATTGCTGTCTGTGGGGTTTTCCTGGCAAAGATAGTTCTCTAGTGGATTGGCCATTTTCTTCTTTAGTGGATTAAGGCAAACTTGCCCAGGGTTACACAGCTGGTAAGTGTCTGAAGTCAGATTTGAACTCAGGTCTTCTTGTCTCTAGGTGCAGCACTCTATCCACTGAGTTACCTGGCTGCCTCCCTATCACATAGTAGACCCTTAATAAATGTTTGTTGACTTGCTTTTGATTGAAATTCAGTTACATATGTGTATGTATATATATTATAAATTTATATATCACATATACATATGTATGTATACATATGTGATGTATACATTTATAATACGTATTTTATATGTATGTGAGACGTGTGTGTGTGTGTGTGCGTGTGTGTGTGTGTCCTCACTATGTGCCATGCATTGTCTTAAGCGTAGAGGATACAAAGAAAAGTGAAAAAACAGTCCCTACTCTCAGTCTAACTGATTTCCTTTGTAATCCATCAGAATGTTCTGTGTCACACAAAAATAAAAATGCTAAGAACCTATTGACTATTGAAAAATCTTCATTTCCACACTGAAAAACAGGTTAATTTATAACAAGCTAATTAACTTGGGTGGGGACCACATTACATATGGAAAAAAACTATGGAGATCAAAGTCAGAGACTTGGAGGATTCTTTTCCTTATCTCTTACTCCATACATTCTACCCTAACCAGGCTAGATTATTTATCATCCTTCTACTGTGTTACCTGCTTGTGCATAAAGGACCTGTGACTGAGATTGGCTGCTACATTAGCAACAAGAATATCAGATGTTCCCTGATGGAGAATCAGTAGCTTCTTTTCAGTGATGCCTCATTTATGCTGACCTGACTGCATGCTTGGTTTCTGCCTCACCTTGACCTCCATTCAGCACCTGGCTTCTCCCTGATTCCCAACTGCCTACCTGACATCTAATTCCTTTGTCCAACTTGACCATCAATTCTGGACAGCTCATTACTGACCTCTACATTGCCTCCTCAGTCTTGTCATCTTTGATTCTGTCTTCCCTTGCAATTTTTCACTTCTATTCATGGTCTGGATATGATAGTGCGTCCTCTTTTGTAAAATGGGGACAATGATCCAGTCCCATTTAACTTGAGAGGATAAGGTGAGCCTCAAAATGAAGTGATGGGGGCAGCTAGGTGGTGCAGTGGATAGAGCGCTAGCCCTGGAGTCAAGAGGAACTGAGTTCAAATCCAGCCTCAGATACTTGATACTAGCTGTGTGACCCTGGGCAAGTCACTTAGCCTTGATTGCCTCACCCCCCCCCCAAAAAAAATGAAATGATATAGATGAAAGGGTTTTGTAAAAGGATAAAGCATTATACAAAATAAGATTTAATTGTTGTAAGAGTTATATAAAATACTTTATTATTATCAAAGTGTATCTATAACCCTTGGGCCACAACTACAAAATCAACTAATCAGTAAACATTTATTAAGTACCTACTATGTCCCACCTATTGTGTTAAGTACTAGGGATACAAAAAGATGCAAAAGACAGTCCTTGCTCTCAAGAAACTTCTTCCTATTAGTTGAGGATTAGGTAAGTCATAAAAATGTCCCATTGTTAGTAATTTTGTGTGAGATTTGGAGCTGAAAACTAGAGGTGAAAGTTAAAATTTTAAGTCCTGAGATCCCTAACTGTACTTTCTACAGTTTTCCCAGTTCAAGCTCAGTAGAAGCATGTAGTTCCCCAACCATACCATAGTCAACAAGCCTCCTTGTTTCTGGATTTAATTAAAAACAATAAATTTGCAAAACAGAATGGTATCTATTACTGAATAACCAGATTATACCTTTTATAATGATTGAGACATGACTTGGATGTCAGCTTATAAACTAAATAAATGATCCAGAGGTTTCAGGTGTATCAAACAGACAATTTACGGTTGAAACAATACCATTTTTTAAATGTTTAAAGAAAAACACAGCCCTTAACTCAGTTTCATATTCTTACTTCTTTGGTTAACATTCGAGATATTTTTGCATAACTAGACTAGCTGTTATCTAAGCTCCCTTTCAGCTCTAAATTCTTTTTTTAATGATTTAATATTTTATTTTTCCCCTAATTACAAGCCAGAACAATCTTTAGCATTTCTTTTTTTTAAGTTCTCAATTCTCTCCCTCCATCTCCTCTCTCCCTCATTGAGAAGGTAAGAAATTTGATTTAGGTTGTACATGCGCAGTCATGCAAAACACATCCCTATCTTAGTCATGTTGTGAAAGAAAACAGACCAAAGAAAAGAAACATGGAAAGAAAAAGAAAGATAAAATTTTTAAAAAAGCATGCTTCAATCTACATTCAGACTCCACCAGTTCTTCCTCTGGAGATGGAAATCAGCCCTAAATTCTATGATGGAACATATTCAAGCTGGGACTAATGGAGGGTTGGGGGGAGAAGCTAGTATGATCCGTGCACACCAGTAACAGAGTCACACTAAAAGAGACACAAGAAAGAGAATCTAAGACAGAACTTGGTCCAATGGAAGACACTGGAATTGGGCTCAGCAGAACTGCAATCAAGCCCCAGCTCTGCCAAATCACTAAGTCTCATCCTTAGTTCAGTTACCTGTAAAATAGGGGTGATAATACTTGTGATTTTTATCTAAACAGTCTGTTGTTAGGCTCAAATTTGTGTAACAGAATGGTACAGCTATAAAACTCTTTTACCTATCATTGTTGATTCCTGCGAACAGAAAGAATGTTGATAAAAGAAACAATCAGTGATGCCTCATTCCTATTACTTAAAGCTTTCCTGAAAACAGAATATTTTTGTCCCCTAAGACGCATGTTGCCTAAAAGTCCAGTGGCCTCCTGTAATATTTTCGACACCAAATATTTATCCACTACATTTGTTGTTTCAACTCAGAGTTATGACAATGACATTTCAGAATGAAACTATTTCTATTTTAATGTATATTCTAGCATATTTCTAATGATACAGATCAAAATTGTGCAGCACTTTCAGGAAAGTATTCTCCAAATTTTTAGAGTTTGAAGGTCTACTATTTGTATAAACATGGAGACTGGATACTAAAAAAAGAAACGAAAATCAGAACGAGGAGTACACTGATAATCTCGACTTATTTTCCCCCAATTGATGTCCTGAGCAAGGAATCTCATGTAAATGCTTCTTCCTCCTCCTCCTATTCTTCCTCGTCCTCTGTGTGTGTGTGTGTGTGTGTGTGTGTGTGTGTGTGTGTGTCTGTGTCTCTGTGTGTCTCTCTCTCTTCCTCCTGTCATCATGAATTATCCAGATTGGTTATCTACAAGGTAAGCAAAGTCTAGGATTCCCAGGGTCGCTCTCTCATTAAATATATTGAGAATTGGTAAACCCTGACTCCATACGTACCTAAAGCATCAAGAAAACTCAGATTACTTTGGTTGTGGTGTCTTTTCTCTTGTTTCATGTTCCCTTAACACTTGGGCAAAACATGAAACATCATGCATTTGTTTGTCAGTTTTCTTGGGTGTGTCTCCTCGGCCAATTTTAAGCATCTAAAGGGCAAATTACTATAGTTTTTTTTCTCCTTTGGTATCTACTTGCAGAATTGCCTCTTAGTATAATGCTGTAAATGTAAGATTCAATAAATGGTTAGCAAAATAGTGAATAAATGTGATTCTCCTACATGCAACACAAACTTCACTTTCCTAATTGTCGGTTCCCTGCTTCTTACTCCGAAAGGAACAAGCACTGAGTCCCCAGACTAGATGAGAAAAAGTAAGCCATGCAAAGGGTCATATCTTTACAGCTGAAAGAAACCTTATCAGTAATCTAGTTCAGGACCCTCATCGGTTAAATGACTTGCCCAAGGTCTCATACCTAGGGAATGTTAAAAAAGGGAAGTGAACCTAGTTTTTCTGACTCTAAATACTATGCTATGCTGTGTCTCATGCTCCACAAATTTGTCTTGGAGTTTGTAGCGTGGCTTCCCTGTGTCATTTTAAAAGGGGTTTAGGAATAATAAAACACAAGTATTATGTTATGTTATGTTTATATTATATTATGATTATAATTATATTATATATATGATTCTATTCTGCCAGTCACATATTCACTTCACCCTTAGCTCTCTCTGCTAGACAAGGATGGAGCAGTATGGTCCAGAGAGTATCATCCAGGAGGCTTCAAACAAAGTCATTCTGTTTGTGCACAGAGTAGAATAATTTCACCCTTCTTCCCCTGTCCTCATCACATAACCCCATAATGGCCATCCAGCAGAGTTTAATATGTCTACTTCCTCATTGCAGGAGGTAAAATTAGCCTCAGTAAATCGTTTAAGAAAACTACCTTCCCACCTCTCAAAGTTCTTTCTGCAGTGGGGTGATATCATTAAATATTTTCACTAAAGATGTCACCATGGCACAGACACCAATATTTGGTGCCTCCTTCTTAATTTCCTTTCTCACTCCTCTAGATCATCAGAAAGATATATTATTATTGCACTGGGTCTTGTTTGTATCAATTCTTGGGGGAAGGGGAGATCATTTAGTATCATGAATCTAGAGTTGGAAGGAATCTAAAAGTCCATCCAATCCAATCACTTTGTTTAGAAATGAGGAGAGTGAAGCCCAGAGATGTTACCTTAGTTGTCCAAGGTCAAACAGGTGGTTAGTGGCTGAGGTAGGCTCTTAAGCCATGGCCTTTGACTCCAGAGCCACTGTTCTTTCCACTTTATGGTCTCAATTACCCTCAATGTCAGTGCTGTCTTTTAAGTATCTGATATAAGTCCCTGTTTCTTTGAATGTTTTTGATAGATGCTGTCTTCTGCCAATGCTGAGAATGAAAAAAAATGGCAAGAGATATCAGAGGAAATAAAGAAGATTTTTAAGACAGCTGTGAAATTGCTACATGAAAAGGGGAAAATGAAGCACAGCCAAGCCAAGAGATATCTCTTTTCAGGTAACTTTTCTACTGCCAGCAAAGGTCAAAAAATGGCCACATACCAAGTCTTTTACGAATGAATAAATGCAATTTGCATCAAATAAAAGAAATTATCCTAAGTATCTCAATCTAGAAAAAGATATTATTCAACCCTTGCCTACAGATCAAATCCTATTTAACTTATGGGGTTTCTCAATGAAAATGTAACTTTAAAAGAAAGATAAATATGATAAACCACATTCAGCCAACATTTCTCCTGAAACCAATTGGCATCTCTCTTTTAACAATGAAAAAGGAGACTTCATTATTATAAGTATCACAGAGGGCTAGTAATCTCTGAGGAAATGTCCTAGATTTCAGTCCTTTAGGGAGAGGGGGAGGACATGGTACCCAGAAAGAAAAAATAAAGATCAGGTGAAGAAATAGGACATGGAGAGATTTGGAATACTTGAAAGAAAACTGCAGATTGGACATCTTTTCTGCAACTTGTATTCCCTCCTCATTGAAATTTGATATTATGGAATATGGATCTGTGGCAAAGGTACTTAGTTGTTGTTTCAAATTTTATCAAGGAATAGAGTGGTAGTAGTGATTTTTAAATGTAAAGATTAGGGGCAGCTAGGTGGTGCAGTGGATAAAGCTCCAGACCTGAGTTCAAAACTGGCCTCAGGCCAAACATTTGACACTTACTAGCTGTGTGACCCTGGACAAGTCACTTAACCTCAACTGCCTAAAAAAAAAATGTAAAGGTTAATTGTAAATCTTTTTGGCTAATTTACTTCCTTGTATCTATCAGAAATGACACCTCAGTTTTATGGTTGCTGATATCTTTTAAGATATCAGAGCTGATTAAAACAAAGATAAAAGTCACAAGAGACTAAATCTGATCATCTTATTCTCTTAGATTAAGACACTCCTGATCTTTAGATTTTGGTGACAGACTTAGCCTGTTTTAAGAGGATCCCGCTGTATCTCATATCAAGTTAAAGCCACACTGATTTTCTAGGATACTGCTTAAAAACTGGATTTGGGGGAAAATATCAATTCAATTGATTAATTAATGATACAGTTAATTTTAATCATAAAACTTTAGAGAACTGATTTTAAAATACTTCATTTGGGTTTCCTGTCCCTGATGTTCTCCGAGGAGAAGCCAAATTTTGACCTGTCAGGAGATATTGTAAAGGACATTCATACTTAAAATGGGAATTGAACTAAACTATCTCTGGGGTCCTTTCTATCACTCATATTCTATGATAGTGGTCCTACTTGACATGAAAAATTTTGACCTTTTAAAAAAAATTGCTTATTATGAACCTTATTTGAATTTTATAATATTTTCATATACAAATAGTATTTCTACTGATTCATCCTCCTTATATAATAATAATAATAATAATAATAATAATAATAATCCCATGTAAGTTTATATCTCTGTGAAGATTAGTATTTCAAAGGCAATAGAGTCCTGGCTGTAGCCTTTACCATCTATGTAATGTTAAACAAATCACATAACCTTTTTAACCCTTAGTGTCCTAAGTGGAATAGCTCTGGCTCTATGTTCCATATTATCTATGACAGTTACATTCGTATCCACTTTCAGATTTTACTTGCCTGTCCTTTCTATAAACCCTTGACTCTATCCTCAAAATCCCTAACTGAATGGGAAATTTGCAAGTTTTCTAAAATCTTTTTTTTCCTCTTTCTTTCTTCCTTCCTCCCACCCTCAGCTTCCAACCCCTCACCAAGTAGGCAAAATTTGCCCAGAGAGGAAAACCTAGTAAGCGAAGTCATTGGACCCATTCTCCAAGGGATTAATCTTTTTGTCATGAACCTCATTTGAAGTTTGAATGTGATGGGGCTGATATTAACTATTGAGTACTACCAGGCTCAAATACTTTTGGTTAAAAATGAGGGTGGGTCATCTATCTTCACATTAATAATAGTTCTTCAAAATCAGGGGAAAAAATCTATAGGTAGACCTAAGTCTGATTTTCAAAATTTAATAATTTTCCTCCCTGGGATCAGAATAAACTGTATATCCTAAGAGGGCTCAATATTAAGCAACTAAGGCTGAAACATTTAGTAATTTTTATTTTATTTCCATGGTCATTAATTCTATTTAAAGCCTTTGTATTGCTATATCTGTCCCTAGTGCTTCAGGACACTAGCCAATCAGATAGGAAGCATGTTAGCCAAAACTAGAGCAAAAACAACTGTTTGAACAGTTTGGTTTTTTAAGACAATCTGAGAAAAATGGATTTAGAGTTAGGAAGGACTTTAGAGATCTCCTAGTGCAGCACTTCTCAAACTTTGTGGTCTTCAGATTACCCCTTTATGTTCCTAAGAAATTATTGAGGATCCCAAATAGCTTTTGTGAATGTGGTTGTTATCTAATAATATTTACCATATTAGAAATTAGAACTGATAGATTTTTCAAATATTTATTCATTCATTTTAAAAAAACTATAATAAACATATTACATGTTCATATAAATAACATGCTAATGAAAAATAACCATATTTTCAAAAAATTAATGAGAAGAGTGGCATTGTTTTACATAGTTTTGCAAATATTATGGCTTAATAGAAGACAGCTGGATTCTCAAATCTGCTTCTGCATTCAATCTATTGTGATATGTTGTTTTGGTTGAAGTACAGAAAGAAAGTTTGGCCTCATTCAGATATGTAGTTGAAAACAGAAGAAGTATTTTAGTGGGCAAATATTGTATTAGTATTAGTAATAGTATTATTATAAAATTATTATAAAAATAGTGGCCTCAAAGACCTTCAGGGATTTTAGGACCACACTTTGAGAGCAGCTCCTCTAATTCTACCCCCTCATTTTACAAATGAGGACATTTAGAGCCAAAAATATAAAGGGACCTCCTCAAGGTCACACACCACATACACTAGTTGAAATATCCAATGACATTATAATCACAAGAAGAAATATGAGTCTTAGTCAAAGCTTAAAGTGAATGAATAGTCTGCACTTCTGGACTACTAAGTTAATGACCACCATTTTTTTTCTAATTTGTAATATGTTTAAGGGCAATTATATAGACACAGACTGAGGTCATTCACACTCCACTGGCTAGGTGATCAGACAGTAAATTTACTACAGTTTTATCAATACTTCTGGTCACTTAGGAAATAGTTTTTCTGAAGTGAAGTATCTTCCCTCCTATGTCTAATGCCACTAATGACATATCTTGTCACCTAGGTAAAGGGTTTTTCTGCTTAGAACTCCCCAAAAGGAGCAAAGCAATAGAGTTAGTGATTTGAAGTTGTTTCTGCTTTTGAATGGGGAAGTTAGCACTAGATTTCTTTTGTTTGTTTTTTCAGCTATTGAAGATGAGTTTGACTTTGCTTTGGGAAAACAAACACCAGCATTCCTAAAGAAATGTGTTTGCTACATTAGAAAAATTGCAAACATTGAACGTTTTGTGAAAATTCCAGCAATGGGCAAATACATGGACATAACTGGGACAGAACCAAGAATTATCCGAGACCCAGAAGCCCACGAGAAACTGATAAAACTCAGGGATGAATTTATTCCTACCATTGTTGCATCATCTAATCTGAGAGTCTACACTTCCGTTACACATTGTGACATGAAATTAGGTTATTCACAAGAAGTAGAGAACCATTATATAGAAGGACTTGGTAAACAGTTTTATGAGGATATGATTGACATCATTCAGGCAACTGTACAACAGAATTTTGACACAGAAACTGATACACTGTATGACGAAATTCTTCAGCACTCATCATTATGTAAAACATATGCCTCCTTCTATGAGTACAAATGTGAATCTCTAAATATAGTACATAAATACCTTCTTCCCAGCAAAGCAGGCCACATTAACCCTCTCATCACCTATGGAGGACCTTGTACTGGAAAAACTCTTCTGTTAGCTGAAGTAGCCAAGAAGGTAAATGTCAATTCATTTTAAGTGTCTTTGTAATGTTCTACTTTGTATATTTTTTAAAAGTGAATTTAGTTTATTTCAGTTTTGTTTATTTATATGTTGATTACTCCAGTATTTATTTTTTGTTTGGCATCATAACCAGGGCTTTCTCCTTTGTCTGAATGGGTCAGACAAAGAATGGCTAGGACCCAGAGATCAGACAGGATTGAGGAGATAGGGAAGGTAATCAAAGAAAGTCCAAGCAGCATGAAATAAGAGGCAGGAAGGCAGGTGAAGCATAAAGTCATAGTAATATGGAAACATGAAAAGATCCAAGATAAGGGAGAAGGAAACAAGCATTTATTAAGTGCCTACTATTTGCCATGTACTATACTAAGTGCTTTACAAAAATTATCTCATTTGACCATTCAAGATCCTTGAGAGGTAGGTGCTATTAATATCCCCCTCAGGTAAGGAAACTGAGTCAGACAGAGGTTAAGTGACTTGCCTAGGGTCACATAGCCAGTAAGTCACTGAGGCAGACTTTGAATGCAGGTCTTCCTGCCTCCCAGTCCAGGACTCATGCACTGTGCCATCTAGTTTCCTCCTTGCAAATAGCTGGTACCAAGCCACAGGAATCAGGGTTCAGAGGAAGTACTCTAGTCCCTAGAAGGAGTAGGACCCTTCTGAGGCAGGATCCCCGTCCAGAAAAATCTAGAGTACCAGGCATTCAATCAAGAGAGGTAAAAACAAGGGCCCAGTTACAATAAATGAGGTATGAGGTTATGGTTTGGTATTACAATATCAGGAGAAGGCTGATGATGCTAAGCCACAAAGAACTTGGCCTTGGGCTCTTTATATCCCACTGCCCAGGTCTAGAACCGGTCCTAGAATCTAAGGCATGGCTACACCTACACATGAAATGAAAGTGGCCCAAAATGTAGGGATTAAAAGCAAGTGGGAGGTAGAAAGTCAGCCACATAACAATATGTGATGTGTCTACAACAGTAGATAGTAGACCACTGTTTTTACTGGTACTGTGTTAGGGTTTGAGGTCCTTTTGTTTTATTGTGTCCTTGAGAACATAGTAATGCCCTTCTCTGTTGCAACTCCCTTAATAGTAAATTATTCATGAAATAATCCAGTTATCCTGAGAGAAAGGAAAAACACACTTGAATATAGATGATATAGAATTATGACTACATGCAAGTAGAAAATCACAGGAATGCAGCCTAGATTACAGAGTTTAATTTTGAGCAGCTTGGGAAACACTAACTTACATGTAATTAGATATTATGTAGGTTTTTAGTGTTACTGAGAGATTCAGCAAATTGAAAAGAACATTAAGATAGGAATCAAAGAAAGAGAGAGGAAGGAAGAGAGGAAGGAAGGAAGGAAGAAAGGAAGGAAGAAGGAAGGAAGGAAGGAAGGAAGGAAGGAAGGAAGGAAGGAAGGAAGGAAGGAAGGAAGGAAGGAAGGAAGGAAGGAAGGAAAGAAGGGAGAAGGAAGGAAAGAAAGAGAAGGGGGGGAGGAATATCAATAAGACATTGCAAAGGGGGTGGTGAAGGTTAGGAAAGTATCCAAACCATGCTTGTTTCCTCTCTAATGCAAAGTTCCTCCATAAATCTTTATGGAACTGTTGTCAAACAATTTCATTTAAGCCCTTCTTAACCCTATTTATTTCTCCAGCCTGTAGCATCTCTTGAAGTTATAGTTTCACAAGTTTACTATTTATTATGTATAGTAATATTTCATTTCATTTTCCAGATTTACCTCTTTCAAACTTTAAGGAGTATCCTTTAATCCTAGTACACCAGGTTTTATTGAACTACTCTATCTTTACCCATACTGTATCCCTCACAATTTAAAAGGCTTTGATCATATCCTCTCTTAGCTTTTGTCTTTCTGGAGAGAATACTAATCTTTTAGTCTGGCCTCATATTACTGTACTCCCAGCTCCTTGTTTATTTCAGTTACACTAATTAAGCTATGATTACATAATTAGTCCTCTTAATGAATTTAAAATAGTCACTTAAATACATTGATGTGCTTTTTAAAAAAAATTATATTTCATAAATTATATTTATGAAATGAGATTACAGAGTGATTTTTTTCCTAGCGCATCTACTAACTTACTTGTAATTGGATATTATGCAGGTTTTTAATGTTACTAAGAGATTCAACCAATTGAAAAGAACATTACAATAGGAAACAGATCTGATTCTTTGTGATTAGCCCTTCACCCCTAGGTTAGGCAAGTCACTTTACCCACCCTGTGTCTCATTTCTCACTTTTCCGTCTATTAAATGAAACTTCCCAACTCTCCCTCAAAGAGAGATTTTCATATTGAATTTTGAATTAACATTTCTACAGTAAACTTTCTCTTACATCAAATTATTTGCAATATCCCAACATACAGCTCTTCACCTCTTTACAGAAAGGAGGGAATTATGTTTCATCATTTGTTCTCCAGAACTGAAATTGATTATTAAAAGTACTCACTTTATTTGCCCTTTAATGTTGACTTTGCTTTACTTATATTATTACAGTGTAAATAAATTATATTATAATGTTTTTTTCCCCTAGTTCTGCTTATTTTACTGTTAGTTCATACCAGTCTTCCCACAGTTCTCTGAATTCCTCATTTTTTCTTAGGGTTCAATAGTATAATATTCCATTGTATTTATGTGTCGTAATTTGTTCAGCCATTCACCAATCAATGAGTACTCAATTTTTTGCTACCACAAAAAGTACTGATATTAACACTAGAACAAGGAACATTAACTGATGCAAAAATTTTCTTAGTCCTTTGAGGTCTTAAATTCTGGTAGTAATAGTAGTAGTTAGTAGTAGTAGTAGTAGTAGTCATAGTACTAGTCATAGTAGTAGTCGTAGTAGTAGTCATAATTGTAGTCATAGCAATGATAGCTAACGTGTATAAAATTTAACAGGTGAAGAAAGTGAGGCTTACAGCAATTAAGTGACTTGCCTAGGTTCGCACAACTGGGAAGTATCTAAGGCTAGATTTGAACTCAGGTCAGCTAAGTAACACAGTGGAGGGCTGGACCTGTAATCAGGAAGATTAATCTTCCTGAGTTCATATCTGGGCTCAGAAATTTATTAGGTATGTGACCCTGGGCAAGTGTCTTAATCCTGTTTGCCTCAGTTCCTCATCTGTAAAATGAGCTGGAGAAAGGAAATGGCAAACCACTCCAGGATCTTTGCCAAGAAAACCTCAAATGAGGTCAGGAAGAGTCGGACACACTTGAAATAACTGAACAACTACTTCCTGAGTTTAGAAACCACAGTTCTAGCATGTTATATACTATACCGTGTGTGTGTGTGTGTGTGTGTGTGTGTGTGTGTGTGTGTGTGGAGACACACACACACACACACACACACACACACACACAAATACACATCTTTGTCCTCCTTGGGGCATATTCCATGTTCCTGTGAAATGCTTGTCCACATCTTTATGGAAATTCCCCTTCCCCATATTGTAGAAGAGAAAGCTGAGGCTTGGAAAGTGTGGATAGATAGATAGATAGATAGATAGATAGATAGATAGATAGATAGATAGATGTAGATATAGATATCTTTGTCCTCCTTGGAATATATTCCACGTTCCTGTGAGATGCTTGTCCATATCTTTATTTGAATTCCCGCATCCCATTTTATAGATGAGAAAGCTGAGGCTTGGAAAGTAAAGTGAATTGAGCTCAGAACCCTCTCCTTGAAGTCTAACTATCTTTTCCCTTTACCACAATGCCTCTGCATGACATTTCTATAGCTACCCCCTCCCCATTCATCTACTTTCTCAATTACCCTACCATTCTATGATCTAGGAAGCCCCAAATGCTAGACCTCACCTTGTTTGGGGTAATACTAATTCACATTTATATAACAATTTAAAGTGCCTCCTCACAACAACTCTATCAGGTTAGACAAAGCCCTAATCATTATCTCCAGATGGCAAATAAAGAAACATGGGCCCAGCAATGTTAAAAGATTTGCTGGAAATCATATAGTTAATTAATAGTAGAGTCTGTACTAGAAATCAGGTCCCCAGTTTTTAGGAACCTTTATTTTTAATAGTAATCCTATCGCTATTAATAGCCCCAAAGGTAATAAGTAATACTGAGCTAGGATTCAGACCTAGGTCCTCTGACTCCAAAGCCAGCATTCTTTTCATTACACCAGACACCTATTGTGTGTGTATTGTGAGGTTTAATACATTTTGCTAAAGCTGACTCTAAACAGGACTTCGTGTGTCACAATTTTGACAGCATGTGTTAATAATTCTTTTGTGCTTTGTTATTTCTTTCTGCTTTTTATAGTTTTTCTCTTTCTTTCCTCAATGTCAGATTGTCAGTTGTCACTCCTTGCTGCTATCCATCTGCCTGCCTCTTCCAATCTTTGTCTCCAAACGTACATACTAGGTCTTCTAATTTGCTACTTTTGTGGGCTGAGAAACTAGATAACCAACCTATTTAGAATATGTGTTCTGTAAGAGTCATTGAATTTTGAGTGAAGCCTCTCTTATGGAGTAAAATGTCTGGTTTTACATTCATGGGTTTTGTGTTCTCATTTTGGTCCACTTTTATTCTTTTGCTTTCTCAGTTCTTAGTTACATTCCAGATGGTTTTAAGTTTCCAGAAATCTGACTTCTAGATAAGTAGGATGCTAAAACGTCAATATTTTAGTTTTTAAATTTGTCCCTCTAAACTATTCTCCTATATTTTAGGCTTATGGTTGGCTACAGGAAGAGATGGGACCTGAATCTGACCCAGTCATAATTGTAAGATTTCTAGGAACCACAGACATGAGCACTGATCTTAAGAATCTACTTCTAAGCATCTGTGAACAGTTGGCAGTTAACTACCGGTGTCTGGTGCAAAGCTATCCTAAGAAGGTTCATGATCTTCGTGACTTGTTTATAAATCTCTTGAATGAGTCTTCATTTCAGAGGCCCTTGGTAATAATATTTGATGCTCTAGAACAGCTCTCTGATGTCGATGATGCCAGAAAACTTTGGTGGCTCCCCGTTCACCTTCCCTGTTTTGTACGAATAGTACTATCCACGCTGCCCAATAAACATGGGATCCTACAAAAACTGAGGTGCCTTATCCATGAAGAAGACAACTACATTGAGCTCATTCCAAGGGACAGAAAAATGTGCAGTCAGGTCCTAAAACACCAGTTGCTACGTGTCAAAAGGAAAGTGACATCAGGGCAACAAATATATGTCAATGAAGCTCTCTCCAAGTGCACATTGCCAATGTTTGTGAACTTAACCTTCAGGGAGGTGAGAAATTGGAGGTCCCACAAAGATGTGGATGAGTCCTCCCTCTGTGTCACAGTCCATGAAAGCATAGAGCAGTTATTTTCGTCCCTGGAGAAGAAATGTGGGCAGAAACTAGTATCCCGAGCTCTGGGTTACATCACCATGGCTAAAATGGGTTTGAGTGAAATGGAGTTGGAGGATGTTTTAGCACTGGACAACAATGTTATGAATGAGCTAAATGAGAATATACGGCCAAGCAACCCCCTGCGGGTGCCTTATGTATATATCGCAAGGCTCAAGGAGGGTCTGAGTGGATACTTGATAGAACGGCATGTGAAAAACGTCACACTTTTGGTATGGGCCAATAGGCACCTACAGCTGATAGCTCAGAAGCTTTACCTACATAATGACACTGACTTGCATGAAATGCATACAATCCTAGCAGATTATTTTCTGGGGGTCTGGTCTGGTGGCAGGAGGAAAGCTTTCTGTCTCGAAGACCCGTACTTGAATGACTGCCTTGATCTAGAAAGCAGAAGTTTGCTAGAGGAAGAAAAGCATTTCCTGGAGCAGGCATCTTTTGACAGACAGGCCCCAGATCAACCCTGGGTGTTTCAATGCAATCCACTGGAGCCTGACATCTTTTTTGTCAATCACCGCAAAATGTCAGAGCTTTTACACCACTTGACGAGATGTGGGAAAACAGATGACCTGCTCTATGGAGTCATCATGAACTTCAGCTGGCTTTATACCATGATAAAAATTGGCCAGTTTGACAAAGCCCTTGCAGACATTGAGGTGGCTTACAACTACTCACAGGAGAAGGAACTGAAGTTTCTGGCCAGCACCCTTAGAGGCATCAAAAGTAAGATTATCACATTCCCTGGCTCCCTCTCTGCCGAGCTCCAGCAGAGACTTCTTCCAGTTGTCAGTTCATTACCCAAATTGAGGCACCTTCTTTTGGAATGTGACAAAGATGGACCTAAATACTGCTCCATTGTCCCCTTACATTCTTCTATGGATGTGACTTACAGCCCCGAAAGGCTTCCCTTGTCATCTAGTCATCTGCATGTCACCGAAATTTTGCCTACTTGTAACCCAAGTACTGTCCTCACAGCTTTGGAAAATGGCTCCATCAGCACATGGGATGTAGAGACTCGTCAGCTACTGAGGCAAATCACCACAGCCCAGTCAGTTATTCTGGGCATGAAGCTCACCACAGATGAAAAGTACCTTGTGGTAGCCACGACCAACAATACCTTGTTGATTTATGACAACATAAATTCCTGCCTCCTGTCCGAAGTTGAAATCAAAGGAGCCAAGCATGGAAGTGGTTCGAATTTCATCAATGGGTTTACCTTGTCAATTACACATGCCCTTGCCTGGTTGGAGGCCAGCAAAGATGTCACTGTCATTGATCTACTTTATGGATGGCCTCTTTATCAGTTCCACTGCTGGTATGAAGTCACTTGTGTTCAGTGTTCTCTGGATGGAGTGTATGCTTTCTGTGGGCAGTATCTAAATACCACCACCATATTTCATTTAGGGAGTGGAGAAAAGCTCTCCACTGTGACTTCAGAATTTTCAGGTGGCTTTGTGAAGTTTCTTCTCATCTTGGACACAGCACAGGAAATGGTAATGGTTGACAGCGAGGGCAGCCTTTCTATTTGGAATACTGAGGAAATCACCAATCCCCAACTAACAGATGATTTTGATTGTCGAAGAGAAGACAGTGAAGTTGTCAGCATTGAACTTTCTGAGGACCAAAGTGCAATTCTTATCTGCAAAGCCCTCAGCATAGAACTCTTAGACACTACAATGTGGAAGGTGGCGGAAAAATTCAGAGCCAAACACAATGAGCGCTTTATCTCTGCAGTGCTGTCCAAAAATGGCGACTGCATAATTGCTACTATGGAAAATACCTCAGCTGTGTTTTTTTGGAGGAGGGACACCGGACAGTGTGTGGCAAGCTTACAGGAAATCTCAGGAACCATAGTCAAGCTGGTCAAGTCGAATCACCATAATATGCTGCTATCTTTATCTACCAGTGGTGTCCTTTCTATTTGGGACATAGATATAATTACAGCAATGTCCAATATAGACAAGACAGGAAAACCCATCCAAAGACTGGTGTTACCTGCTAGAGGTGAAATAATTTATTCCCTAGATGGGTCTGAATCTGTCCATAAGTGGAACTTTAGCAATGGATTCATTGAGGCAGAATTTAAGCATGAAGGCATTGTAGAGCACTGTGTGCTCACCTCCTCTGGGGATGTGATGGTGACATCAGATGACAAATGTAGCCAATACGTGTGGCACACCAATAGTGGTGAAAACCTCTTTCGCATTAATGGGCAAAGAATATCCCAGCTGCTGATTACACACAATGATCAATTTGTGGTTTCACTCTGTGAGGAAAACGCCTCTAGGGTTTGGCGACTGGCCACAGGCCACAGGGTGTGCAATATTCTCACTCCTTTACAGAATGCATTTATAACCTCTGCAAATACATTTGTGGTAGGCATCACAAAAAACAAAGTGTTGGCAGTCAGCTTATGGACAGGAAGTATCACCAAGAAGTTCTGCTGCGAGGATGGGACCATGATTGTAAATTTCAAATTGATACCTGACTGCCCTGATATCATCGTATTTATAACATCAACAGAAACTGTGAACATCTGGAGCCTGACAGACGAAGTCATCTGCCGACGTGTACAACTTCCAAACCATTTCTTAAAAAATCTAGAGGACTTTGAAATTTCTCCCAATGGGAAACTAGGCATTATGTCCCGGGGGGATGAAAATATAAATGTTCTTGATCTGCACAGTGGGAAGCTACGAGTGGTACATGCTGCTGGAATCATCTGGCGGCAAAGGCTATCTCGAGACGGTCGCTACCTAGTCTATATTTGTTTCCGAAATGGAGAAGAGGAAGATGACAACGGTGCGGTCTCCAGCTTAATCGTCATGAGACTTGCAGATGGTAAAAGCATTGGTGCTTGTTCACTTTATAAGACACCAACATATCTTGCACTGTCACAGAGGCACTTGAATATTATTGTTGGTTTTGATGACGGAAGTATAGGGATTTATACTGTAGTGGACCGGGTCGATGCAGCATTGAAAATTAAAATTGCCACTTCAAACAGCCGGCAAATTTTCAACAGTGCAACACAAGCATCCAGGCCAAAGTGTAATAGTTATTGCTTTAAGGCTACTGCAGATTGTATTTGGAGAGAATCCACTGAGGTGTTTGCAAGAGATAGCCCCATCACAGTGACTGATCCCACAGAAACAACTGAAGCAACACCGACCAAAAAACACAATCCTTATGACCGGGTGTGCTCTGCCATAGAGAGCAGAGGCCACAGTTTTGCTGCTGACAACTAATTACATGTTTAGACAGGTTTACTGAAATTCATGATATGCATTTGTAAGTCTGTCTTCTATATCAGAGGTGGAAATGGTGCATTTCTTAGGCAAAGTGAAATACAAGTGACTGGTATTTGTCCACAGATGTGTAAAAACTACAGAGATGGCAACATATTTTGCTATAGTTTTCTTGAGATTAATCCATGAAAATCCTTTTTTCAATGGCTCATCATTATATGGAAGTGACCCTGCATTCTCAAAGGCTGTAACAACAGAATGCAAGCTCTGGTAGGTCAAAAAGGCTTTGAGAATGGGTCCTGCAATAGATGGCATATGTTGCCCAAGCACTACCCTAACTAAATTCAGAGAAGCTCATTTTTGTAGATTTGATTACCAGGTGATTGATTATTTTTTGGCCACAGCAACTCTTCAAACTACAGACTAAAATATGGAAAGACTGTGATCCACCAAATATGAAATCTTTACTGGGCATTTCTAGCAATACTCTTTACATTGCTGTTTCATCTAGAAGTTAGAAAATAGTACAGTATATTGACTCTAAGTCTATATTTGCCAGAAGTATAACCTCTTCAGTTCACTATATACAATAGGCAGGGTCTACACACACACACACACACACACACACACACACAGAGCAGTTTGACCAAAATCATGTGTCATGCTTTTTTCTTTTAAAGTTAAATTCAAACAACCATTACTTTGTCTCCATGATGCCAAATAATTCTTGTTTGGCAACATTTGATTGTTAATATTATATAAATACAGCCTTAACTCCATTCTACTTTTTACCATCCAGATAGCAAAGACTTATATCTGGGGATAAAGGAAAGAAAGTGAGAAAGGGGAAAGTAATTTAACAGTCCTGACCATATGAAACTCTCCAGCGACTACATCCCAACATAAAAAGAAAATACCTTTGAAGGATGTGAAGATGCGAAGCTATAAGCTGGATGGGACAAGAATCAATTGGCAGCTAAAAGGGCAACCCAGATGCAGAAAATCAGTCTTGCAAAAGTTGTATATGTGGGTTTTTATACAAAGGAGGAAACCATTTCTTTAAAAGCTGTTTCCCAAGTTATAAAAGAACATGTTTAATACTAAAAATTCATTCATTTTTTAATGTCACTTTCAAAGTGCATATTTTGCTAGATGTAATGTATGCTCACATAAGGACATTACAAATGTAGTTAAACTGTTCCATTCTATTATTGCATTAAAAAGTTACTCTTTACTCTCTTAAAAGAAAGTATGAATTATCTCCTAAATCCCTACACTGAATTTCGACAGAAAGAAAGCTTTCTTGATATGCCATGTACAAACTTCTGATAACATTTGCCTTACTCTCATTCCTCTTCTGTCCTGTGTTGAACGCAGAGAGATGACCAAATACTCTGGGACTAACAGAATATGCCTGTTATTTGTGCTAAAATATTCCATAAAATCTTAAGGCTGTCCAAAGGTTCTTTACTGTTCCTGTTTGTAATAAATTTCTTACTTCTACATATGTACGTAGGCTTATTATCTGTTTTACTTCCTGCTTTGGGACTGTTCTGAGCCTTTTATATAGTGTGATCAGTTTCAAGGCAGAAGCTGTGAAATATCAAATATTTTTTAACTATTCCACCTGATTCAAGAAAAATGGTTACATCCCCAAAAACTGAAAGTGATTTTTCCACCCACTACATCGTACACATGGCATGTCCTTGGCTAATTTTTAACAGATTTTTTAAAGAGGAAATATCCTCTAGCAAGTGAAGTACTGAACAGGTAGGAGTTTTAGTTGTCTGTTTCTACCACTGACTTGCTGTGGGTCCCTGAGCCAATCTTCTAACCTCTCTGTTTCTCACTTTTTCAACTATAAAATGAGGTTAGTGGTAGTTTACCTATATCCCCTACAGGAAAATTGTGAGATTGCGTGATATGAAATATAGTCAACTCTGCATTATTGATACTAATGGAGAAAAGTTGAATGGCATATCACTCATGTCTTTTATATTTGACCTTGAAATGTAGTCTGAGATACTAACACCCTGAGATGTGACTCAGATACAAATTATTATCCCACTCCATGCCAAGGCCAGATCTTCTATGGTCCTATTAGCCTGAGTCCAAATCAGGTAGTAGCCAAGAGGTAGACCCAGGTACTTGTATACATAGATACATAATCTAGAGTTGATTATATATGAAAGTATTCATCAGAGACAGACCAAGATCATTTAAGGTATCACTATTAATATTATGAGTAGTATGAGTTGGACCTCTGTGCCACTAAATTTCTAAAAGTCATATGCCAAGATGAATTACATGTAGTGTGTGAATGTTCTATGTAAAAGCCAATTTAGTAAGTATTGAGTGATTTGAATGATTTTTCCTAACTTGTTTGCAACTTCTAGATCATACTGAATGTTTTTATGTAAACTTTGTATTGTTGGGAAGAATTACCCAATCAGAGATTTATATTTTCTTAAATGTTACATTTAGTTACATTTTGTTACAGAGTTGTTAAACTAGAATATTATTGCAGTCTTCAAACAATATACAGTCTTGTGTATGCATTGTTTGTATGAATAAAAGATAAACTAATTTGCTTTGGAGTTTTTTGGAGTATTTTCCAAGTTTTGATAATGCAACTGAAAATTGTATGCTGTGTGACCTAGGCACATCATCTAATATCTCTGCACCTTAGTTTCCTTATCTTTTAAATAAAGGGATTATATTAGATGGGAACTGAAGCTCCTTCTGCTCTAATATTCTATGGGTCTGTGATCTTTTAAGTAAAAAAAAAAAAGAGGCTGCCAAGGAAGGAAAGAAAGGAAGGAAGGAAGGAAGGAGGGAAGGAAGAGAAAGAAAGGAATATAAAGAAATAATTTAATCCATCTAAGCATCTCATATAGAAGTATGATCCCAATGGACACTCAGTATTGATAATAATGAACAGTAAAGTATTCTTCAACGATGGTACAATAGGCAAAGTCCTAGATTTGAAGTCAGAGTATCCAGGTTCAAATCCATCCTCTGACACTACTTGCATGACCTCAGGCAGTCACTTATTCTTTCTGGACCTCAGTTTCCTCCTCTATAAAATGAGGTCATTGGAATCAATGAATTCTAAAATCCCTTCCAGCTCTGAATCTATCATACTATGCATTTATGAACCTGCCATTTAGAGATCAGTCTCAAAGAGGGAGACATTCCACAAGTTCCTGCCTTCCGCATAGCAGACCTTTCCACATAGCGACTTCACTCCCAGAATCTGGAGGGAGGTCATGGGAGCTCCCAGATAATTTCTTATGGACACACAGAATTCACTAAATACTCCTATTTATTAGATGCCCCAAGAGCACCAGCAAAACCAAAAGGTAAAAATCCCATCCCATTCTTTTCCAGATGTAACGCACAAAACTAATTTATATTATTACAGCTAACGGTGGGAAGTTAAAGAGAAATATTGTACTAGCAATCACATATGCAATTGTCATAACCTGATTATTTATAATTATTTATTATTGGCATAACTTGATTATTTATAAGGGAGTGGCGCAGTGGATACAGCTCCAGGCCTAGACTCAGGAAACCTGAGTTCAAATCTTATCTTAGGGCAGCTAGGTGGCGCAGTGGATAGAGCACCAGCCCTGGAGCCAGGAGGAACTGAGTTCAAATCCAGCCTCAGACACATAACACTAACTGTGTGACTCTGGGCAAGTCACTTAAACCCATTGCTTAGCCCCCCCCAAAAAAATCCAAATCTTATCTAAGACACTTACTAGCTATGTGACATTTGCCAAGAAAATCCCAAATGGGGTCATGAAGAGTCAGACACAATTAAAAAATGGCTGAACAACAATCATTTACAAAGAATGATAGCTGCAAAGATCAGGAAAGACTATCTAGAGCCAGGGTTGGGGAACCTGTGGCCTCGAGGCCACATGTGGCCCTCTAGGTCCTCAAGTGCAGCCCTTTGACTGAATCCAAACTTCACAGAACTTAAGGCCACAGGTTCCCCACCCCAGATATACTATCATTTTCCCCTTAATACAGATGAATGAAAAGCACTGATATAGTGAATAGTGTGTGGCCTCGGTGCCAAGAAGGGTTCAAGTTTCATTTTATGTCCTGCTTTTAACATATCCTCATTGTGTGACCCTGAGCAAATCACAATTTCTCAGTACCACCAAGCAACTAAGATGATAAGACTGCAAGGCAGTTATAGATCTACATTGGTAGCTGGAAGTTCTTCTCCAGAAGTTCTCAATACTAATACAATCACAAGTCTAGTAAAAATCTCCAATTAAACATCAAGTTATTTCACTGTAAAGCATGATCAAAGAAACTCTGACACTGTTGACAGATAGGGCGTGTCGACGTACTCTGCTATGGCCTCACTCACCATCTCTGTAACTTTTCTGACCATAGTGTCCTTCCCTGGCCACAACTCCCCCATATTTGCTGGTTCCCCTATTAGAAAGTAAGCTTCTTGTGGCCAGGGACCAACCAGACCTGTTCTTGCATTGTATCCTCAACACCTAGCACTGCGCTTGACGCATAGTGAATGCTTAATGAATGCTTTCTCATTCATTTATCAAAAATACATATTTAAACACATTAAGCAAAGATTTTTCAATTTTCTAATTACTAATTCCAAAATGCTACATTTTCCTTCCCTCATTGAAGGGTAATTTCTCTTCATATATTCAAATGTTTATTAAGCACCTACTATATGAAGTGCATTGTGTTAGGTGCTATGCTTAAGGTCACCCCTTATTCAATGGGACACACAGCTAGGCATTAGGCTAGATATACAGTTTACATAAGATGTGCCCTACCATCATGAATCTTATAGTATAGTAGGTAATAATGCACATACTCAAATAAAACACAATGAAGGCCTAAGAGAAGTATAAAATTATGCACTGTAAGAAATCTGAAGTGGAAGATTATTACCAATAAGGTAAATAGGTATAATGAGGAACAAAGAAAACAACTGCTTAGCGTCTACCTTTCAGTTGGGCTGTAAAAGATGGGCCAGAGGGGCAGCTATGTGGTGCAGTGGAGTCAGGAGGAGCTAAGTTCAAATCTAGCCTCAGACACTTGACACTGACTGTGTGACCCTGGGTAAGTCACTTAACCCCATTGTCTAGCCAAAAAAAAAAAAAGATGGGCCAGAGCACAATCCATGAAAATTTGAGGAAAGCCACTGCAGATTCAGGTCAAGCATGAGCAGGGAGAAGAGACAGTGAAGGTTGTGGTCAGGAAGCAGGAAGTACTCCAGAGCATAATGTGCCCTGAGGGGAGGGATAAAAGACAAGGCTGTAAAGCAAGGGTCCCACCAGAGCAGGAAAGTGACCACATCTATGCATAGAGGACTGTCCACAAGATGCTTACACGCTAGTAAGACATGACATACACATACAAACTCACACAGAGAAATTAAAGAGGCAACATGAAAGTGGAAAGAACACTGGAATGATAGCTGCAAAGATCAGGAAAGACTATCTAGAGCCAGGGTTGGGGAACCTGTGGCCTCGAGGATTCAAATCCTGACCCCCTTTCTTACTAATAGGAAGACCCTGGGCAAGATATGTAACATCCCTGGGCTTTAGTTTTGTCACGTATGAAATAAGATGGTTGGACCACATTGCAGATTCAAAGTCGGAGGGAATCTTAGATGTCACTTTTGGTCTAATCCCCTTGTTTTACAAGTGAAGAAATAGGCTCAGAGAGGTAAAGTGACTCCCCCAAGTAGAACAAGTAGTAAATGGCAAAGTCGATCAATCAATAAACAGTAAGCACCTACCGTGTGCCAGGCACTGTCCTAAGTACTTGGGATACAAAAAGAGGCCAAAGACAGTCCCTGCCCTCAAGGAGCCCACAATGTAATAGGAGAGACAACAAGCAAACATATACAAAGCAAGCTATATACAGGATAAATAGGAAATAATTAACAGAAGGAAGGCACTAGAATTAAGAGGGTTTGGAGAAGGCTTCCTGTAGCAAGTGGAATTTTAGTTGGAACTTAGAGGAAGCCAGGGAAGTCAATAGGTGGAGCTGAGGAAGAAGAGAATTGCAGGCAGAGAAGAGAGCCAGAGAAAATGCCCAGAGCTGAGAGATGGAGTGTCTTGTCCACAGAACCTCCTGGGGGGCAGCTAGGTGGTGCAGTGGATAGAGCACCGGCCCTGGATTCAGGAGGACCTGAGTTCAAATACAGCCTCAGACACATAACACTTACTAGCTGTGTGACCCTGGGCAAGTCACTTAACCCCATTGCCTAACCAAAAAAAAAAAAACACCATAGAACCTCCTGGAGGCCAGTGTTAGATCAAAAGGAGTGGCAGAGAGTAAGGTGTAAGAAACTAGAAAGATAGAAGAGGGCTAGGTTAGGAAGGACTTGGATTGCCAAATAGAGCATTTTGTATTTGCTCCAAGACAATAGGGAGCCACTGGGGTTTACTGAGGGGGGAGGTGACGTGATCAGACCTGCACTTTAGGAAAGTCACTTTAGGGGCTGAATGGAGGATGGATTGGACTGGGGAGAGACCAGAGGAAGGTAGGCCAACCTATTGCAATAATCCAGGGATAAGGTGATGAATACCAGCACTAGACTGGTAGCAGTGACAGAGGAGAGAGAGGAGCATATATGAGAGATGCTGCAAAGGTAAGATCAACAGTCAGATTTTGATTTCAATCCTCTGACTCCAGAACACTTCTGGTCCCTTCTGTGGTCCCTTTCTGCTATAAATCATATAAACTTGCAATTCTCTAAGTACACAAAAGGTATAAAATGTTATGAAAGCTCAGACATCAGTGAGTTTCTTCTGGCTTCATGGAGTTCTACAAGTGACATTTGAGCTTACTTTGAAAGACAATGGAGGTAGAAGGAAGGCATTCCAGGCTTGGGGCAACAGATGGAGATAAGAGGAGGACATTCCAGGAGTGGGGATGCACCTATGTCAAGAAAAGGAGACAGGATAACATAGTATGTGTTTAAGGACTAGTACTGAAAGTGGGATTGCTACAGTACAGGTTAAGTAAGAATGCAGTTTGGTTTAATTATAACTCAGAAATACTCTATAGGCAGAATCAGCTGGAATTATGTCCAGCTCATGCCTTATTTATTCTAAGTACTGAACAATGTTTTGGGTTGAATTAGCTAATTGAACATAGGTATTGGCCTGGTGTAACCATGCGCAATATTCGTAGTTAAATGTTCCCAAGTAAATGAATGAGAATGAATATTTTTTAAATTTCCCATCCCATTATAGAATTGAAAGTTCTAGGGCTGACTTACTGGAACAGGATCTAATTAAATGAGACCATTAAAAACTATAACATCATTCATTACATTTCCAAATTTTTCTCTAATGGTTATCATTTTTAAGCTACTCAGTGGTCTCCATCTAAAAACTTGGAGATGTCAAGGAATGTTCAAAGATGGACTTCAGGAAAGAAATTTTAAAAAAACCACTATCACTGAAACTGACAGAGGATATGCAAAAGGACAATAAAGGGGCGGTGTGATGTGGGAGAAAAAGCACTGGATCTCTAGAGGTTCAAACCTCAGCTCTGCCTGTTATAAGGTATTTAACCTCTCTGGATCTCAGGACATTTATCTATAAAATTAGAGGT